GGAAGACTTTTCTCTTTTCTCTTGAACAAAGACTAGTCTATTGAAGACAGATTAAGCTAGAGGTTGACATCCTAGGAAATCACTCATTCGTCCACCGTAGTCCTGTTACTGCCCTTGAATCCACGCTGAGAAAATACCTGTATAAGTAAAGCTGGTGGGCGGGTTTGGGGTACATTTTTGCTTCTTTTTTGAACTTTTCTGTATTTTCTTTGTGTGTGTGTGTGTGTGTGTGTGTGTGTGTGTGTGTGTGTCTTTTTGAGACAGGGTCTCGCTATGCAGTTCAGGCTGGCCTTGAGAGCTCACTTTGTAGTCCAGGCTGGTCTCGAACTTGCAAGGGTCCCCCTGACTCCCGAGTGCTAGGGATTACAGGCATGCGTGTGCCACCACACCCAGCATCTGTATTTTTAAAAAATAATCATCTACAATGTTTATGAAAACCATCAATTAATTATACAAAAAACTGCTGAAGGTTGGAGGACGAAGACACAACTGTGACATTTACCATCCTCACAGGAGCGCTCAGCACGTTCGAGGTGCTGCACGGGGTGAGCACTGTGCCCGCTGGCAAGCAGCTCAGGAGCCAGTGTGGGAGACGCAGGCACAGAGCATGCGCATGTATCGAAGAGACGCCAGTGACGAAGGCGGTGCAGAAAGGCTCCTGGGGGAGCTGGTAGTGAAGACTGGACGGCAGGACGGAGCTGGCCATGCAGCGCCTGCGCACGGAGAATCCAGCAGAGGAACCCTTACTGCAAAGTCCGGGCGGTGAGATGGCCAGGACAGCGGGAGGAGCGGGGACAAGAACACCACGGAGTGGCTGTGTCCGCTCGGCCGAGGCCACCAAGGCTGGCAGGACCCAGATCACACGAGCGAGGAAGAAAACGTAATTTCACTGCAGCTGTGAGGAGTTTTAAGCAGGGAAACGCATGGTTTGACTTGTTTTAAACAGGCCCGTCCGGCCAAGTGCACGGTGGGTGCGATGGGAGAGCCCGGAGCGGAAGCAGCCTCCTGGGGTCACCCGGGCTCTGCAGGCCTACACGCTCCCCACCTAATTTTCATCAAGGGTTTGAAGTCCTCAAGGCACCAAGAAGCAGACAGAGCAGCTGCGCACGCCATGCGCTAGAAGGCGCATCAGCAACTCGGCCGCGGCCGCGGAGCCTGGCCTCCATGTGGCGCAGCTGGGGAGACCGTCCAGGAGCGAATCTGAGAGGGGAAAGCTGATTCGGAGACGAGGCAACGCTTCTCATAAACACCAGCTCACAGACCTCTGTGCCTCAAAGCGGTCCAGGTCTCAGGGTGGACGTGAGCTCATCAGGGGGTTGGAGGAAGCCCGAAACCTGCAAGTAGGAGACTCCTGTGCTTTGTACAAGGCGGGGGCACTCCTCGAGCACAGTGACCCCCACCCCCAGGAGGGCGGCAAGGTACCCAGCTTGACAGGGAAGAAATTTAGCTCCCGAATTTAAAATTCCGAGCGCACTGCTTAGGGAAACTGTTCTGCAGTGAAACGATAGGAGGAATGAAAGCAATACACAAAAGGACGTGTTGATTCCTGCTGTGAAGACATGAATTCCATGTTCAGCTCTGGAAACAAGCGTTCCTTGTGATATGAGAGCTTGTCACTGTCTTGAAGGCAGAGAAAGAAAGTGAAGGATCTGTAGGAGGCAGGAAGGAAACCTCAGAAGTCACAGGGTCACTGCATTTTCCAAGCCCCAGGCCGGAACTTCTCATTGGACCAAGTTACAGACCGGAGAGGCTCCGGCTGAGGGTCGGGGTGATTAAACACTTCCTACTATGACAGGCAGGGTCTTGTTACAGCGAGGCCCAGAGCACTGTCCGTATTCCTTTGTACAAAGGATTCTGCTGTATCAGAGGTGGCCTGAAATATGAGCCCCGCTGCAGAAAGGCAAAGTGGGTAAATCTTCTGCTCCTGCGGGCATGTGTGGGACCATCACTGGCGCGACAGGATTTGACATGTGGACAGGGTGACGCTGGCCTTGTGTAGGGCAGGCCACGCTTCGACACAGGAAGCGTGCTGAGCTTGGAGCTGGACCTCCATGCCCAGGCCACCCTTAGCACTTCAGAGGCACGCGGCTGTGGGACACACTGCAAAATCTGAGCTTGGGACTCTGCATCTAATAACAGAGGTCCTGCAACGAACACATTCACCCGCTAGGGTAGCATGTGTAGACGGCAGGTGAAACAATACAGCCTTAAGTAGTTACAAGGTGTGCTTGTTGTAATACCAGGTTAGCAAGCGTTCACTTTCTGGCTTTGAAATAGCACCCACAACACTTGGTCTCTCCCCGCAATACCACGAGGAAGCAAAGAGCATTTCATTCTAAGCGATGTGCTCTCTCTTCCTCGTAAACCCTCTGCAGTCCTGTCAGCGATCTCAGGGCCAAGGCTGCCTCGTGCCCACCTCTCGCTCTCCTGCCGCCCCAGGACCACTCACCGTCACCGCCACGTAGAAGCACCATATCACCGAGCTGAGATGAAAGACGACCAGCTGCCCGGACTCATTGAACTTGCTGTGTTTGACCTTGGAGAGATGAAGTCGTTTGCTGATTTTCTAATGAAGGAAGAAAACCCAGCACGTTACATGAGTATGTCCACACTAGGCAGATTCCCAAGTCCTTCTCCTCCCCACAAAGGGGGCGAGCACTGTCAGAACCCTGAAGGTAGCTGCAGCCCAAGTTATGCAGTGTAAGCCTAGTTGAAGGCAAGCATTTTGACAGAGGGGCAAGGGCAACGTCTTTAGCTTACACGTGGCCAGAACATCCCCCACGCTGGCTATGCATGACAGATCCCTGAGGACAACCTCTGGGCACTCCTCAGACACTGCAGGAACACTGCAGGCCCTGTGCTAGCTGAAGGAGGCCATGGAAAGGGGCAGAGATCAACTGCGCTGAGGGAAGCCCATTCAACAGGACCCGCCAACGGGCGCTAATTAGGGGACACAAGGATGCAGAGCTGGCTTCCGCCAAGGCCAGGCCCTCCACCCCGGGACATCTCTCTGGCTTCCGATCGCACCATCTGGATATGTCACTTACATCTAAGATGTACTCCTGGACCACCGCGTGCAGGATGATGCTGATGGAGACGTAGAACAGGATCGTGACCAGATCTTTTAGGCCGTAGTGGTAGTATACCATCTCACTGTCTGTGGGGGAGAAGATGCCATCAGACCCCACAGTGAAGAGATGAGAAGCAGAACGTGCCGTCAAACACCACCCACCTGCTACAGCCCAAGCATCCCACCCAACCCCTGGACTTGGCCTCTGGAAAGCCCCAGCAGGAGGGCTGAGTGATCATCGTATTGTAATGACTACATGGCTCCCGGGTGCGGGAACTAGAGCACCCGGGCCATGGACTCTCCCACAGGGCCCACTGCTCCTTGGATGTATGGCTGTGCACAAACAAGGAGCTTGCTGTGCCTCAGTCTCCTCCCCTGGAAAACAGGACAGTAACAAAAAGAAGCAGTGTGGGGGTTAAAAGGGTGGAATCGGAAGCTGACTGCCTGGGTTCGTATCACAATTCCGACCTTTACATCCTATGTGACCTTGAGCTTCTTCTAGGGATGACCTTTCTGTGCCTCAGTTTCCTTGCCTGCAAAGTGAGGCTAACGGATCCCATATCATAAGGTTATTGTGAGAAATAAATTAATTAATACGTGTAAGGTGTTTAGCACACCTTTTACTTTGGTACTGGGAATCGAACTCAGGACCTCGCACTCGCCAGGCAGGCGCTTGTGCCCCTGAGCTCTACCCCTGGCCCGTAAGTGTAAGGAGTTCAGAACGGAATCTGGCATGCAGTAAGTGCTGTGTGTGTGTCTACTGTTTTCTCCTGTTGGGAAAGGACCACATGAAATAATGTGTTCTTCAGACGCTCATTGCAGCAGCTGTAACGCACGCAAAGCCTCTAACAAATGGGCCCTATCATACACGGGGCAGCCGTGCGCTAGACACCCAGCCTGCAGCCTCACACTGCCCTGCCGCCATGGCCTCCTCCGCGCGGAGCCAGGAACGCAGCCCTGCTCCCGCAGCCTGCTGCAGGCCGACAGAGGGGCGGCGGGAGACCGGCTGCCGGCGCTCACGGTGCTGGACTGCGTCCCCGGACGCCTGGCCAGCTGTGCCGAGTCACACGCACATGAGTCATCGCTTCACCGGGATGCATTTACCAGAAGGTGGGCCAGGGTCACTCTGCCTCTGGGTGGCCAGAAGTAAAGGCAAACTGAGCTTCTCTGGGGCTCACCTCTAACCCCGGCACGCGGGACGGGGAGAGGGCACGGTCGCAGAGTGGACAGCAGAGCGCATGAGCTCCAAAACCTGGCGAACTGTCCTTTCCCTGCCCGCTCCCTTCCCACGGAGACCTCCTCTGGGAGAGGCCGAAGCACACAGATGGAAGTCCCTGCCCTGAGTGGCCAAGTGTGGCAAGGGGATGGACAAGCGGACAACTGTCCTACGCACAGGCCTCACTGCCAAGAGGCAAGCGGCGGGCGGCACAGCTAGGGCTCTGCTCTGGCTGGGGTGGGCACGGGGGTGGGCACTGCTCAGTGAACAGGAGGCCACGGAAGCCAGGGGGCGGACAGGTCCCGGTGCAGGCATCCTCAGCCCAGGAAGTGGCACCTGGGGGCCGCTGGGGTGGCAAGGAGGAGCCAGGGTGAGAGGCAGAACGGCATGGAAGGGTGTGGCCCTTAGCCCTACAACAGCACCGACACCCAGGAACCCAAACGAGACAGGAACATGAACCGCGTTTGGTTTTTTTTGTTCTTTTTGTTTTGTTTTGCTTTGTTTTTCCGGTACCAGGAATCAAACTCAGGACCTCGCGTTTGCCAGGCAGGCGCTGTGCCGCTGAGCTAAATCCCCAGCCCT